CCGACCCTATTTAATCGGGTATTTGATTTTTAAAAATACTCATGGGTTAAATATGTTTGAACCCGCACCTAATGGGTAGGGTTACGGAATTAAAATCTCAAACCCGATAGTACCCGATCCGGCCGAAGTTCATTTTATTATTATTATTATGCTACCACGTTTTCTTGGATAATTTCAATTTAAGACCAATGTGCACTATCTAGGACTTTATGATATTAGAATTTAATTAAACATTTATCATTTTGCCTAGGTGATTATTATATATTTACGTTTCCTTCTAAATGAACTTCCTTTACAGAAGGATGGAATACTATTACTAATGTTTTTGCTTATAAAAGATACAAGCACTTGTATTTGTTTGTGTGTTTTGGAAACAAGTTAATCGAGTTTTAAATTGGTTACATTAATTTCCCACATGAAAGATGCAACCCGAAGTGGTTTTTTCCCCAATACCCGACCCTACCCGACCTGTTCATGCATGGTTTACCAACTTATTTTGCGTATCGTGGGTTGGTTAATAGCCAACCCGAACAAATCGGGTAGGCCCAAAAAATATAACAAACCCGACCCAACCCGCCCGATGTGCAGCCCTACTTAGACTAGTCAATTCTTATCTTCTCGCTTCAGGTTTTCTTGGACTTCCATTCGGTTGGGGACTGAGCGAATATATAACCAGCTGGGAAGGTAGAACGGAGATCAGAATACAAATTTTCATCCGTGAATTGTACATTTAAAAAAAATTGCGAACAAAATTGTGATTTCTAGCTTCTGCATTTTAGGCCGGAAGAAAATCGTACACGGAGGTTGGAGTATTGACCCCCCAAATAACTTATTTATAATTAAAACCAAGAACCAGATACAAGTTCGTCATAACAAAGGCCACACTGGGATGAGATTCGGAGCTGGAATCACGCTTAATAACGGTCCAACTTGCTAACCTCGCAATTTGTTAGGCTCCATTCACAGCAATGTTGCACTTGCTACTAAAAGGAAAATCAAGAAACACGAGTCCTGAGACGACAAGAAAATATAAAAAGAACATAATCCAGTTTTTCCAGCCACTGGCAAGGAGATGGCGGTTTGACCAGCCCCCCGCCAAAAGTTTCTCCTGCATATCCACAAAGTCCCTGATGACCGGCGGTGCTCCCCAGACAGCACCACCACTTGCAAGTTTTTTTGAATTTGCCTCATCCACATTCATATTTGCAAGTACCCCATCCCCACTAACCATCTCAATGACCATGCACTTCCTTGATTCTTCCTGGGTAGTAGCTACTTCCTTACCCTTTGATAGTAGCCCTTCCACCACATAGCTTTTCTACTCACTTGTTTGCTTTGCCCGAGACTGCTCCCTCATCCCTTCTGTCCCCTTGCCTGTTATTGATAAGAAGCAACCCCGCCTCATATCAGCCCGTGACAATGACTCGTAAGGCTTCTCACCAATCCATGGACCACTGTGTAGGTTAGAGGGACAGAACCAGTCAGCATGACCAAGGATCCCACACATGAAACAAAAAATTGGGAGTCTCTCATAACAAAAGTCTGCCCATCCATATTCAGCTATCCCTATCCTGTCGGACCAGCAAATGCCTAGTCAAAGCTATATTAATATTGATAGTGACTCTAATGCACAAAACTGGGATATGCTTTCCACTAGGAGTGGGCACGGTTGGTTAACCGTATTTCAGTTAACCGAGATATCGGTTGGTATATTTATAATACCATTAACCATACCATAACAACGGTTAACCGGGTAAACAATTAACCATAGTATAGGTTAACCATTTATTGGTTAACCGAAAAACCATGTAGGCGCTCTATCATCAGTTTTGTTGTCACCCAATAAATTACATTTACGTATTGGCAGTTTGCAAAGTTATTTTTAAAGGATACCACAGAGGCACGAACTATTATTGTTTCTAAAATAATGACTTGGAGTAGTAGTATAATACGTACGTAATACGAAGTATGTAGTTTGATTTATGGTTGTACACGGATGTGCTGTAATACGTATTATATAAATTAAAAAAAAATGATTTGAAATATGCATTTCCAAAGTTGAGAAAATTGCTTCTATGATTTTGAATTCTGGTTTGACTAATCCGTGAAAAATTCAATTTTGAACTTAAAATGAAATTGTAAGCCAGAGTTCGAACATAAAATTAAATAATAAATCTAAATTGCAATACAATATTTGCAGTTTGCAAATCGATCTGTAGTTCATATTGAATAAAGCTCCTATTATGTACAATACGCAGTTACCGAAAAGTTTTGGGGATTCACATGGGGATTTCTTAAACGGAAATGAACAAAATATATGAATTCTGTAGTAATATACAGTACTACATATTAATTTTGAGTTATCGGCCGGTTAACCGGCGGTATTTAGGTTCATAACTATTACCGTACCGTTAATAGCATTTCTATCGGTTGGTTAACCGTCCCGCTAGATTTTAAAAACACGGTATGGTTAACCAAAAATAGTGCCGGTTTTGCGGTTTTTACCACGGTTAGTCGGTTATGGTTTTTCTTGCCCACCCCTACTTTCCACCAAGAGATCCCTCATCTAATTGCACAAACGATCCAATGATGTTAGCTATTTCACGAGCTGCTCTTGTCGTCATGTAGCTTAACGGTAAGTTGTGAACCTGAACCCAAAAATTTGCATGGTCCAGTGGAATTTCAGTACGCCCCACACGCTTAATGACCACAAAATTTTGTTCAAAGGACCAAGACCATTCGTCAATAACTCTGCTCAGATCTCCTTCATGATTGGAACCCTTAGTGGGTCCGCCCCTGGGGTTGTGTATATCATAGCTACTACTTCTTAGACATTGAGGAGATGATATTTACTAATTGAAAATCAAAATATAGATGCTTCATTTCAATATGCTAAATAAACGAGAGGCGAACAATGCAATTTCCTATCAAAATAAAAACTATACACACTTTCAAATTACGGAGTACTATTTTCTATCTTGATAAAAAATAATTGCATGCTATGCAGTATGCACAAGCATTTTCCTAACGATAATAATGACAATAATGATACTTATTACATATTGAATTATAAAAAACGAGAAGAAAAATAGAAAAAAAATGAGAAAACGAGACACATGATTTTAGATAGAAGTATGGCATTGTAAGTATTGCATTTTAAAAAACTAATACAGAGAACAAAAAATCTGAGAAGAAGCTAAGCTAAGGAGAAACATGAATAAAATCGTAGAAACACCTAAAATTGACGACAGTAAGAGAGTGCAGCCGAGGTGGCGAATTGAAATTGGAAAGGAGAGACCGTATATGAACCATGAAGAAGAAATAGGGTTTGGGTATGTATTATAAGATGGGTAATGTGAGATCCTCTTTAAAGAATATAAATTTCTACCATATTTCACTCCCATTTTGAGTAATTTTCTAGCCCTGCAGCTACGAGACAATCATATTTTGAATCAAACCAAAAGATGTTTGAAATTAGATTCATTTCAATATGAGACAAAATTGAATCAATAGATCCATGTTTGAAATTGTGAGATGTTTTTAAGTTTAGTAATTAATGGCAAATGATTTGCTCTATATACTACGTATATCATCAATATAATTAAATAAGCACACACAAAGAATGAGAATATAGATTTAAAGTGACTAAAGAATAATCATCCTGAGGTGTGTAAAACCAAATAGCTTGACAGAAAGACAGACTCAGTAAGTTTGAAGAATCAACACTAGCTGTGGAGCCTGTTGGAGTCAATAAAGAGACTAGTTAAGAGGATACATGTGGCTGGACAAGGGGCAGAAAAACTTGCAGGCGGATACATCATATAGACAATTTCCTCCAACATGGGGGGGGGGGGGGGGGGGGGGGGCATTGATCATAAAGATTTGGGCTAGTCCTTCTATCAATTTGACTTTTTTAGAATGAAGCCCGTACTTTTAACGCAGTATTAGAGTCAAACCGATTCATAACACTATGATGTGGAGTCCCATATGAAAAACGATGACGATTATGAAAAATCTAATGACAACATGATCGAGACAAAGTATGTAATCGTGAGAAGAAGTGTTGAAATATTTCTCACACAATGGTTGAATGTGAACAAATAAACTACAATATAAACATAATATACCCATATAGTTACTCATAACTCACAAATAGTAATTGACAAACTAATGGTGGCCTGTGTGGTTGTCGAGAGTAACAATTCTAGTCTTTTTTGGTGATTTTTGTATGATCCTTTTCATCTAACGATATTAGTGTAACGACGGTGGTCATATATGGCGATATCAATGATGATGATAATTGAGGGAAACATATGGTGGTTGGCAGTGACAATCAATTATATTTAACGCCAATATAGTCATTCATTATCGGTAGTTGAATGAGTTTTTTTCTTCATATTATTATAGGTAGTGATTTATATGAGATATTCTGAGTTTTGTATTTCACGCGCGCTTATTTGACATTAAACTTTACACCTCATTATTTAAAATTATTTGAGTTTGCATCACCAATATGTAAAAGTGAGTCATGGGTTTATCCCAATGTTTTCCCTCCATGTCTGATTAAATAATTTACTTTGTATCTCATTTTTGAAATGTGAAGGTTTGAATTTCCAAATCAAAATGGTAACTTTTCGCTTTTCAAATTGACATGATAACTTCTTCATCTAATAATGACTACGTATTAGTAGAAGCAGGAGCCATGTCTAACTGTCTAAGCCATACACAACACACATCAAACATCCAATAAACTTTAAAATGAGTAGTGCTCATATTCAATAAACATTATACTTCGCATTTGCAAAATGAGAAGAAAATTAAGATCACTAGGTTTAATAATTCTCTGAAATCATCACCAAAATCCCAAAGATTTATTTACCTATGAGTTTAATTGGATGTTGACATTCTGTTTTTCCCAATGTTTATATCTTAATTTAATTGAATAAAATAATCTATCTATATGAAATAGAGTATGTTGGCAATTTATCTCCTTCCAACCTATTTGAAGGAAAGTCAAAGTGAACATGTATGCTTACATAATCACCTGCTCAAGGCCATCTCGCCTCCTCTCCCGTTTCACACACATATAGTGTCTAGGTTCTATAATTTTTGCAACAGTTTGACTTTCACATTTGCCAATGCACAACTTTGACTGTAATTATATTTAATTATGTATTAGTAAACATAATAAAAAGTTGATATTTTGGAAATTCACATTGATAAGAGTTCAATAACATTTTATACGTAATAATTTGATTATGTATATTAGTAGAAAATCATAGTCAAAGTAAGATATGTGAATAGTGTAAAAATCACAATGTTGCAAGAATTATAGAACGGAGGAAGTATATAGCTTATCGGGCCGGCGTTATATATAGTTACACATATACATATTATTATATACATACATTTTAAATCCTTCAATTCCCATAAACAATGGACAGCCAATCCACCGCTAGTAACATCTCCGGCGGCGGCGCACCCGCCGTGATCCAGATCAATCAAGCCCGGAGGCTCCCGGATTTTCTTCAGAGCATTAATCTCAAGTACGTGAAATTGGGTTACCATTACCTGATCTCACACCTTCTCACCCTCTGTCTAGTCCCTCTCATCGCCGTCACAGTCATCCACACGGATTACCAAGATTTGCTCCGCTTTTACCGGCATCTCCTCTGCAACCTCGCCGCCGTCACCGTCTTCTCCGCCTTCATAGTATTCGGATTAACCCTTTATTACATCATGACCCGACCCAGACCCGTTTTCCTCGTGGATTACTCCTGTTACCGCCCGCCGGAAAACCTCCGGGTGTCCTACGCAAAGTTCATGAATAATTCCCGGCTGACCGGCGATTTCGACGACCCGTCGCTCGATTTCCAGCGTAAGATCCTGGAAAGATCCGGTCTTGGGGAGGAAACTTACCTCCCGGAGGCTGTGCATAGCGTCCCGCCCGCCATTAACATGGACTCTGCTCGGGCCGAAGCAGAGCAGGTCATGTTTTGTTGTCTGGATAACTTATTCAGGAACACTAAGCTCAACCCCAAAGAAATTGGTATACTAGTTGTGAATTGTAGCCTGTTCAATCCTACCCCGTCGCTTTCCGCCATGATTGTGAACAAGTACAAGCTTAGAGGGAACGTCCGGAGCTTCAATTTGGGCGGAATGGGGTGTAGTGCCGGAGTCATCGCCGTCGATCTTGCGAAAGACATGTTACGAGTTCACCGGAACACGTACGCCGTCGTCGTCAGCACGGAAAACATAACCCAGAATTGGTACTTCGGGAACAAGAAATCTATGTTGATCCCCAACTGTCTCTTCCGCGTCGGCGGCGCCGCCGTTTTGCTATCCAACATGGCGGCGGACAAGAAGAGAGCGAAGTATGAGCTCGTCCATGTAGTCCGGACCCACAAGGGGGCGGAAGACACCGCATTCCGGTGCGTTTACCAGGAACAGGACGCCGCCGGAAAAACAGGGGTGTCACTGTCGAAAGACCTGATGAGAATCGCCGGCGGAGCACTGAAGACAAATATCACAACCCTGGGGCCGCTTGTGCTTCCGATCAGCGAACAAGTTCTGTTCTTTTCAACGCTCGTTTCCAGAAAGGTTTTTAAGAATGGGAAAATCAAGCCGTACATCCCGGATTTCAAGCTGGCATTTGAAAACGTGTGCATTCACGCCGGCGGGAGGGCGGTGATCGACGAGCTGGAGAAGAATCTGCAGCTGTCGCCGGTGCACGTGGAGGCGTCGAGAATGACGCTGCACCGGTTCGGGAACACGTCGTCGAGCTCCATCTGGTACGAGCTGGCCTACACGGAGGCGAAGGGGAGGATCCGGAAGGGAAACAGGATATGGCAGATCGCGTTTGGGAGTGGGTTCAAATGCAACAGTGCTGTTTGGAAAGCTCTGAGGAATGTGAAGCCTTCTCCAAACAGTCCATGGGAAGACTGTATTCACAAGTACCCAGTCCAGTTGTCCACTAATTAAATTTGTAATGTTGGATATGAAGTTGAATATATTATGGAGTGTAGTACTAGTAATGATGTCATAATGTCAGGTTTAACTGATGTTTGTGTTTGGATTATGACTTTAGTACTCCCACTTTAGTCCTACCTCCCTTCCTAAACAAAGTAACAGTTTTACAGTTTTACAAGTTGATATTGACACTGTTTTGCATTATTTCGTACTATTTTAATGTAGATTTTTTTGCCAAATAAGGAAATAAGGGAAACGTGACTCTGTTTTTGAAACATCCAAAAAGGAAAGTGTGACTTTTATTCAAAAAACGGAGGGAGTATATGTTTGACATATTTAGCTAATTAGAGCACCTGCAATGCAAAAACGTGAATGATGTATACGTGACATTAGCGATAACCAATTAAAAAACAACAAAAAGAATATCTCTCATTATTTGAACGATCTTATATATTTTAACGATCTTATAAGTTTTTCTCAACAATGCCAATCACAATGTATATATAGATGTAGTCATTGTGGTTGATATTGTTGGGAAAAACTTAAAACACATAAGATGGTGAAAAAATGAGACAAAGATGGCATAACTTCAATCTTTTGTCTCTCTACTAAGCCATTGTGCGCATTGTACCGATTGTAGCATTGGATATACTCCGTATCACTTTGCATTTAAAGTAATATACCTCAAATTTTTTATTATCTAATCACCTACTTTTAATTTTTCTGATCTATTTATTAGTTTACTTTAGATAAATTTATGCTTTCTTTGTCCAATATTGAAGGGTAAATTACGAATTTTAAAGTTGGTTGACAATAAAATAAAACAATCGATGCTCATAACTAAATCAGTGATAATAGTTAAAACTTACATATTCAAAAACTGAAAATTCTATAAAGTAACAATGAATAAATTAAAATATATGGAGTAATAAATTTTGATACGATAAACAATAAGTAAATAAAAGGACCTTTTCCCAAAAAAGGTAAATAAAAAGACAACTATATTGTTAAAGTAAATAAACAAATGAGTTGATATGATATAGTATAAAAAGTAAATAATCATTTCATGTTAATCTCTTTTATACTCTCTCTGTGCCTAAATAAACTTCTAACTTTTCTTTTTCGTCCATCCCAATTAAAATTTCCACTTTCCCTTTTTGACAAAGAATTTGTGGTTCACAATAATTCTTACACATTTCTCTCTCCTCTACACAATTCTTCACCACACAATACTTACCATCTTAAACTGTATGTCAAACCTATTTGGAAGATATAATAGGGAAGAAGGGAGTAGTTGTAATAGAAAGTATCTCGGTCATTTCTTTATTAATATGAATGAAACCTACTCGTCTACAAAACGAGTTGGACGAATTATCATAAACACATACTCCGTACTATACATTAAAACTGAATTTCATTTGAAAAAATAAATAAATAAAAGGCATACGAATGGAGGGGTGAGTACTGCACTACTGCCAATACCCCTTGAAGGGAACATGAGAATTTTAAAGGCAACAAACTCAAAACAGAAGGATCAAAGAGCATGAAAAATTAGCTTGCCTAAGAACCTGCAGAATACACGGCCATCACAGAAGTAATCTACACATGTCAAAGAGGATCCTAAATTTAGACAGAATCAATTGTACTTGCAAGCAAATATCACATGATGACTAGATGAGGGCAAATTATAATCCAAAACCTTAACCAAGTTGACGAATAGAAGATGCAAAAGGGGTTTTATTTAGTCGGACTTGGGGGATAATTGGATCAATATATAGAACATCATGTCTAACCAGCTAGAACACGGGGACGGACTGAGCCAATACACAAAATGATTTTGAAAAAAAATTACACGGAATTTTTACCTTAATAATTAAGGCATTTTAAAATTTAGGTTGGACGAGGGCCTAGGTTGGCCCCTCTAGATCTGCCCATGTGTCTATCAATATAATTATGGAATTTTGTCCTAAACAGGACAAAATTGTTGTTGGAATTCCAAAATAGGAGTAAGTGTATTTTATTCCTTAAATAGGACTTTTATTCCAAAATTACCCTCCCATTTTCTTGAGACACACACGACACTCATCTTTTTCGCTCACTCCTCCGTCCTTTCATCCATTTTCTTCACTCACACGCCCACAGCAGCCATGAGCTAATCATCTTCTTCGCTTACCCCTTTTCAATTATGCTCACCATCTACTATGATTTCCTCCTCAGGTTCACCCATCCGCTAATAATCTCTCTTAGATGAAGTTGCATGACAACGAGCTTTGAGGTGCGGCGAGCGGAGATGATCCTTTCTTATCCGGTCACCATCTCCAGCCTGCAGCTACGAGCTTCCTGGTGCAGCGCGTAGTGGGGATGGCCAGCAAGGGAACTTCAGCAGTTCAGATTTGGTGGCTGGAGTAAAGTGTTGGACCCAAGGATTTATTTTACAAATGGGCAAAAGAGTCAATGTGTTCAAATGTGTAAACTGGCCCAAGATCTTTAGAAGAGGTCCAAGCAAGGAATTAAAGAAGAAGGGATAAGATCAAAACAGAAAGTATCTTGTTAATCTCACAATCCTTCCTTTTGCTCCGCCTTTTCTTCTTTGGATTTGCCTTTCCCCCTTTTCTATTTCGTTGCAGGTGCTAGTTTGAAAAAAAAATGAGATGTTGCTCTCAATGTTCTTTGTTCGTGAGAAAATGCGAAGTTATACTATGAAAATGTCATGATAATGACATTTTTTTCTCTTTAAAATTTCATATTTTTGTTTGAAAATGGCTTTTAGATGTCATTCTCGACTCATGTTGGCATTCTCATAAAAATGTTGGCATCAGCTCCGGCGGCGGCCATACCTGCAACAGTGGAGGCCAGATCGATCTATAGCGCGCGGAGGCCGGATTTGCAGCAGCAACGATCAGATCATATGCAAGGTCGATGACCAGTGACAGTCGTCCGCCAGATCCGGCAAGATATGCGATGGCTTGGCCTATGGCCTGGCCTGTTTAATAATCAAACTAGTTTTGGGATTTTCAAAAAGCTCGTTTATCTATATAGGATAGACTTAGCCCAACTCTAAGGCTTTTGTAGCTTAAAAGGCCGACTTATTTATGTGTATGTGTGTGGATATATTTGTATATATATTTATATTTTTTGTATTATTTACATTTATATTTATATTAGTATACTTAACTATATGAAATTAGGCATATTAGTATTTTTATGGAGTGTAAATTATAAATCAAAATAGAATACTATTTTAAATATATAAAATGTGTTAATAGTTTATTAGGGTAATTATTGAAATTCAAACTTTTTCAAGATTTGAAGTACATAAAAATTTAGAAACTACATAACTAATGTATTATTAGACATTCGAAGCAAAACTAACGTATTATTGGACATTTTTAGTGAATATTGGGGGGGGGGGGGGGGGTAAATTTTATATCAATTATAAGGAATTTTCACTTTTTATTTTTAATTTTTTCAGACCCAGTAAACAGGCTTCATGTCAGGTCAGATTTTTAAACAGACTAGACTCAGGCTTAAAAAAATAGACCTTTAACAGGTACGGTAACAATTTAGGCTCGGGTCTATATATTCAAAAACAGGTCTGACCTGTTTAGACAAAAGCCTGACCTGACCTGTTTCCTCTCCTACTATTCTCACATATGTGATATCATGCTTTCCTAAACCATAAAAATAAAACATAAACTAAATAACATGCACATATCAATACAGATTATTGATTTTATAAACCATTTATTTTGGGTACAATTTGCCAACTATTAATGTCTGCTCCCATACAAGTTTTTTGCTATAGTAGCTTAGTAAGTGCTATGTAATCGTCTTAATAATGATCAATAGCATTCATTTAAAAGAATATTAATGGATATGTGCTACAGGCAAATGCTAGTGTTCTTGGATCTAAAAAGTAAAAAAATACTCCCTCCGTCCCAATTTGTTTTGCAAAGTCAACATTTTTTGGTCAACCAATAATAAAAGTCAACTCTTCTTATGGATAATTAATTCAATTTTTAATAATTAATATTTACACATTTAAAAACTACATTAAAATCTTTTCAAAGTTGTAAACTTCAAATTAGAAAATAATTAAAAATTGACATCCTAATTAAGTGAACAAAACGGGACTGTTTGACTAAGAAAAGTCAAATTTGCAACTCTTTTTGGGACGGAGGTAGTATATGCAATTACTTCGATGCAAATGGCGGTCATAAGGACATCTATATAAGCCATACATTTGATCATTTTCAAAAAATCATATACTTCGTAGTACATAATTATTGGCATCTTGAATTATAGCAGCAGAGGTAGTGGCATCAGGCCATCAGCCGTCTGTGGTCATGTACTGATCTAAGATGCTACCAGCTACCATAAGACTTTGCAAATCTCATACACTTTTACATTTCAATTTATTTTATCCAGCTTCTCCAAATAAATTGAATTGGTTCTACAAATCAGTTAAAATTATACGCATATTGGTTCTACAAATCAGTTAAAATTATACACATATATTATACAAAAGACTGAAAGAGCATACCATATTAGAGATCTATATTCGTTTCATCATTATTGCATTTTTATTCAAATCCCATGATAACAGGAGTATAGTACTGGAACATTGGCGAGAAGATTTGCTTCTAATGAGCTTGATGCCTTGATATCCCAAACTTTGGATTAGTGTGAGGTAAACATCCCAAATTTGCATATGTAATTTAAATATCCCAAATTTTATATAAAAACTTATTTTAACACGATGGCCATGCATTATTCCTTTCAAAAATGTTATTTTTTGTGCTAATTTCATAATTTAAAATATTTTAATATTCTAAACTTCTATTTTAAATAAATAATACCACCTCCACTTTATATAATTTAAAAAAATTTAATATACTATATTAAATTATGCAATTAACACCATAAACTTACATTTTTGAAAAAAAATATATGACCATGACGCTAAAATAACTTTTTATATAAAGTTTAGGATATTTAAATTACATATATAAGTTTGAGGTGCTTATCTCACACTTATTAAAAGTTTGAGGTATTTTAATTATTTTGGAGAATTTGAGTCGTTGAATAACAAAAAATATTAATTGACACATCCATTAGAATTCGAAAAGCCAAAAGATTTAATATGGAAAATATGTAGTACAACTACATTAAATCATACCAGGTGGCCAGACCATTGTATTGAAATCTGATGTTGAGTAGGGGTGGTTCGGTACGGTATACCTTATATTTTTTCTCATACCTTTGCCATACCAAAACTTTCGGTATGCAAAATTTGCATACCTTTACCTTACCGAAGTTTCGGTATACCGCATTTCGGTATACCGAAGTTTCGGTTCGGTAACGGTACGGTATCGGTAAATTACCGTGCATGTCTCCCAATACAAAAAATTATCATTGACTAACGAAATATACTAAATCGTTATTACTAGCGACATATTAAATCTATTATTAAAATGTTACGAAATACAATTAATAATCTATTGATGTCAAGTCAATATTGAAGAATAACTATTATTAGTATATTTAAGCAGTTCAACATGCCACATATTAAAAAATTACACATTCTCCTAAAATAACTTAAACAATATAGATATAATTAAATCAATAGTGATCTCTAACAAAAAAAATAAAACTAATCAAACAACATGGATATAAAATCATTTATTCCTAATATGATATTGTGTATTCGGTCATTTTTATAATTTTTTAAAAATTGAATAAGACTTTCGGACAAAGTTGTGTGTCTCGACACGTGGAATCCCTATGTAAATACACTTGTCACATAAGTGTATCTCTCTTCACTCGTCAGCTACTTAGCGGCTCAGCCATCACGACTTGCAAGCTCTTGGAACAGGATGGACTTGTTTCTTGACATTTGTACATTACTCATTAGTCATTAAGGTTAGCGTAGTAGAAGCCTATAAGGTTATAGTGGGTTTGAGAAATTGGACCTTTATTTTTGTATTTGTAACCAACTTAAGTATTAATTTTGGGCTTTAAAATTGTAATGGATTTCTATAATATATTAGAATTAAAAGTAATTGTTGAGTAGAGAGTCGGTACGGTATTATACCGGTATACCGCGATATTTGAAAACATTTACCGTTTCCATACCGAAATAGATCGGTACGGTAAGATACCGTACCGAAAATGACGGTATACCAATATTTCGGTATTTTCCGGTATATTTCGGTACGGTAAGTGCGGTATACCGATATTTCGGTATTTTTGCCCACCCTAATGTTGAGGAAGTCTAAAAGACAAATTTTGCAACGGGCTAAGCATTTTTTATTTTGAAATGAATTGAGTCATGATTGTGTTCACACTTCCCACTCAAATGTGACAATAATCAGCCTGGAGAATATAGATTGTGCGTTTCTTGCTTTCGTAGCATACTAGAGCTGCAGCAAACCCAGGAGATTTAGGAAATGGGGAGAGACCTGAAACACATCGACTTCGCTGCCGTGAGCAAAGCCTTGAGGTCCAGTTCTCTGGCTTGGAATAATGCTAAGATCGAGTATGACCAGATTGTTGAGGTGCCTTACCACAGTTTGGTTACTAAGAAGAGGGACGGGTCCGATTGCCGCAAGGTGATAAGCCAAATTAACTTCTCTTTGTTGCAGAGGATAAATGGTGGAATCAATGCTCTAACCGCTAAGTCCTTTGTTATTGAGTATGAGCTGAGGTGCAACATGGACAATGATCCCATTTATGGGAGGATAGAAAATTTTAGCTTATCCTTTACCGTTGATTGGAACGTCTGCCACATTGATATAACATGCGTCCCAGGGCCAATAGATGCTGTTGTTGTAGATGCTGATCTTCGGGCTATGTTGAATGAAGGGATTGTTCGGAATTTGAAAAAATTCGCAGGTCTTACTGGCCTGTATCCTAAGCAGGTACGGGACACTCACAAGGCGGCTCAGTTGATAAAGGTGTTTTGGCATGGTCTAATTGGCCAGAGCAAGGTTACCCGCTTGGTCAAGGGGTGCCTTATGTATTTAGAGCGATTGGAGAAAGGGCCGGCTGAGTTTAAAGCATACAGGCCGAACACACTTAGGTATACAGTTGAGGATCTTCTTCCTACAATGGATTACGGGGAAACGGCTTATGTGTTTACAACAAATGAGAGTGGTGTTTCTTCAAATGCCATTCTGTATGGTATGTGTGAGGAGTACCCACACCCAAACTTCGGGGGGTATGAGCACATATCGATACCAGCTGATGGTAAAACCATCTATCTGGTAGGGTATGAGCTAGAGCAGTTTAAGACTGATGTCTTCTTTACACCGGAGATGATCTGGGGGACGTTGATCCAGTACGCTGACCAGTTTAATATAGGGTCAGCTTTAGAACAAGCGCTGATCATTGCTTGCTCACTTAAAGAGAATAGATATATGGTCCGAGGGTGCTTGCCCCAAGTGTTTAGTCGTTGTGATTTAGTGTACCCGGCACTCACGCGCAGCAAGGAGGGTGTGAGTGGGAACACGATCATAAACGCTGCTAAGGCAACCATGGTTGGGAGGTACCATCAGATGGTGAATTTTGTCCTCTTCAAGGATCTGGATGTTAGCTTGCAGAACACGAGGTTCAACCAGAACCGTGATCTAGCCTCTATCATAGGGAGACACCACCTCCAACTTATGGAGTACATGGATGACATCGGAGTTGTGGATATGTTGAAGGTGAGCAAGGCATTCACTTGGCTCACAAGCTTGAGGTCTGCTGACATGGACAGGTTGCGGCAGATGAGTGTGTTTGAGGGTTTCTGGCTTATCAATTACCCCAAAACTGTGTTGAAGGATGGGGTAATCAAGTCACTTAAGAAGGGATACAAAAACGGTATTAGCATTATGATGCCAGGGGTGTTTTTTGATAGTTTCGAAACTCTGATGCGCGAAGTTGAGATAGGTAGCGGTAAGTATCTGGCAGAGATACCCAACGGTGGGTTTAATGTGAGCTTTACGAATCTTACATGTGAAGCGCCGCCACCTGTGAGGAAAATAGTCTTTGATAATGAAGGGGAGATGGAGGTTGGATTTAATTATGACTTCCTGGGGCCGAAAACGTTGATGTTCCAGTCTGTTGGTGAAGTGGCCACGCCTTCGCGTTTCCACATATATAGAGAGGATGCTGAGTATGGATGGGAATGTGGGTCTAATGGCGAGTTTCCACCTGAGGCAGAGGATGAGCATAGCCCAAAGGAGAAACAGCCTCAGGGGGGGATTAAAGGAAACAAACTCAAACAGAATGATCAAAGAGCATGAAAAATCAGCTTGCCTAAGAACCTGCAGAATACATGGTCATCACAGAAGTAATCTACACATGTCAAAGAGGAGCCTAAATTTTGAGAGAATCAATTGTACTTGCAAGCAAATATCACATGTTTACTACTCCGGGTATAAAAATATTCCTGTTCTTATATATTCCTTACTCTCTCAAATCTCATCGACCTGTTCTTATAAAGATGGATGGGGATGAAAAATCAGCATCTTACAAAATAATGACTTTGGTATCCGTTTGTTTGGATGATGTGATTTGTTTCAATTGAGATTTTTTCTGATAATAGATCAATATAATGAACTTCTGAATATAGGAATAATGGAATATACCTCCTGTATATGTTTTTCCTAATAATCCAAATGGGGTTTCTTACATAAATGTCATCACATATTGGACACTCATCTTTGATTATTGATGAGGACACTAAGTTTAAAAACTGTTACAATAATCCAAAAACCCAATTGCTAAAAACATGAAACAAATTATTTAACAAAAACAAACATACCTGTAGTAAAACTTACTCAAACCTCAGTCCAGTTTAGACACTTTCTTGATCTATTTTTTGACGTTAAAAGTCCTCTATGCCCTAAAACATTCTAATGCAACAATTCCATTAACGTTTTGAGTGACAATGATTGACCATAATTACTTGAACATGTGAATGCTCACGAACTCACATACACTAAAAAGAACAAAACCGTATACAAACATGTCCTATCAATTTGATGCTACCCTGCTCTTAGCAACATCCATCAATTTTTAACATCCAAGTTTCCAACATCTGATGTCCCAAGCTTCCCATGTCTATCAAGATCTTCCTCTAAAAATTATTCAGAGGCATTCTCCCTGTACTCTGTTTTCTGTACAAGTATTTTGTTTGTGAATAGGCTAGTCACACACAAAAAAATAGTTTTTGTTCACCGATGCGTGCACAAGACGTATACAAATAGGCGTGTACAAACATTTTTTCCAACTCCTAATCCCAAAACATTTAGAGTATGTTTGCAAAAAATTAAAAAGTTGATTTTCAGCTTTATGCTAAAAAAAGCTGAAAAAAATGTTTTCAAGTGAAAACTTTTGCTTAAATTAAACACTTAAAAGTTAAAACCTAGAGTCCGCTTTTTACTTTTTTTGACTACACAAAAAGCATATATCTCTCCTAAACACTATCAACTTTTTACTTTTCAAAATCATTTTTCCTCAAGTATTACCAACTTTTACTATTAAACATTTCTTTCCAAAATCACTTCAAAAGTGATGTTTTTAAAAGGGACAAGGGTCAGTTAGGTCCTCGAAGTTGCAAAAAAGGGGTCAAATAAGTTCTTATATAGAAGATTCTGTCCGGACGTGCCATTTGAGGTGGCTCCCGGTGGAATTTTTTGATGAATTTTTTTGAACATCTTATTCATTAAGTCTAGTTTACTCATACCAAATTTCAGATAAATATTCAATCGGGAAGACATTCAAATGAATTGTTGAAGATAACTGTGCCGTTAAAAGCGCAGTTATCTTCAAGAATTCATTTTAGCTGAAATTTAGTATGAGTAAACTAGACTTAATGAATAAGATTCTCAAAAAATTCTACCGGGAGCCACCTCAAATGGCACGTCCGGACAAAATCTTCTATATAAGGACTTATTTGATCCTTTTTTTGCAACTTCGAGGACCAAACTGACCCTTTACTCGTTTTTGAAATATAAGTAATTGCAAACCCTCCCTTAATCTGTATGTCCTCCCACCTAGATTTCCCTCATGCCCCAAGGTCTCTACTACTTGTATCCATATTCTCTATTCATGCCCCAAAGTCAGACCCATATGAGATTACTTCTTGGTTATTCTACATATTCCCGTCACTGGATGGGCTTGTTCCTATATATGGACAAGTGTTCTCATCTCATGGTGGTTTGAAGTGAGCTCAAATAATCTAGAAGATATACAGAAGCTGATAAGCATGTTCTTCCGCTCATTATCTCCTGGCGCATTTGGAAATATTATACTGATTTCACACGGGGTGCTCGTCCAATATACATTACAATTTTCCTCTACCAGGGTAATCATTCAAATCAAGACCTACACTGTTAATTGGCTAACTAGACTTTAAGCCTTCTAACTCAAACATATTAAGGTTCACTATGAGAAACCTAACAACCGCTTTAAGTGGACGCTGCTTTCCGTCCAGGGGTAGCTGGAGGAGGAGCAATTTTACTAGATGAATCGGAATAAATGATCTACACCTGCAATTTTCTTTCCTTCCTCGAGAAGGAACTTCAGGCTATATGCGAAGCCCTCACTAAGGTTATTCAGGCGGGGCTACTCTCCTATATTAGTATATTGGTAGAATTGGACTCCTGATCTGCAATCTCGTTAATACTAGGGATGTGTTTGGCAAGAATACGAGTGAGGGAAGACACAATAGAGAATTGATGATCCTCTCATCTGTGTTTGAGAGTTCATAAAATTGGCATAAATGATTTTGGAATGTTTTTGAGATGGTTCAAAGCCTCTCAAATACTCAAATTTTAAATTTATAACCAGTTCAATTATTTGAATTCACCATATTTTAATTATAATTTCAATGTCACCCCCTCCTTCCCCCAAACTCTCAAATATTCATTTTAAACTTAGCTCGATCAAATTATAATTGGGTGGAGTAAGATTCAAATTGGACACTATGATTTTATGAGAAGGGTAATTCTATTCACAGCCATTAATTTACTAATCACAGCCACCTAATTGTTCAAATACCTATTTTATCCTTAATTTACGCAGAGCCAACAAAATAGGAGAAGACACGGATCATCTTCCATCAGTGGTTTTTTTCTGTTCTCTTCTAGTCCGGCCATCAAGGATTTCAAAAAACAACTTTTTCATCATCAAATTGTCCCTGTGAAGCATCAATCCCATCCGCCATCATCTTCTTACTTTTGGTCATTCTTCGGCAATTCCGCCAAGTATGAGCTTTTCAGATTCACACATATCACCATTTATGGTCATTATGAATCATCAATACTTTGTTGATTAGTGGGTACTAGGTACAGACGTACAGTAGTATTAAGGGTTAAATTTTGTCAGCGAATAATTTTAAATTTTGTAAGCAAAGGATTTTGGGGGTAGCATTTGACGCAACAGCATATTCAAATGCTTCCCATTCTTCTTGATCGAACAAAACTTACGGGAAGGGTAGGGTAAGAAATTAAGAAGACAAGCGCCCCACCATTAATAATACTTCAAATAACGAAGGGTATTTTATCATTGAGGAGGTAATAAAGCTTCCTATCCCCCTGTTAGCCGGCGGACCGTGATAATTCATTCATTCAGCCAATCCGTACTGGGATCTCTTTTGCTTTGGGATAAAAGAGACACGTGATGAAGACATTAGATTTGAACCATGTAAGCTGCTATCACATCTGGTGCTCCATTTCGACTTGCCGGCTGGACGATGAATTAACGAGACTGCTTGAAGGGTAAAATGAAAGGTAAAATAGGTATTATAAAAAGTTGGTGTGTGTGTTTAGCAATTTAAGGGCTGCATTTAGAATTACCCTTATGAGAATCTCATGTTGGACACTAAGATTTCAAATGAATCAATTTGGACACTATGGTTATATATTTATCTCATATTTGACATTGAAATTTCATAATTCATAGTTTTTGGACAGTCACTTATGAATCTCGATCCTCTTCCTTTAATAAGAATCGTTAGTCTTATATTTTCTTTTTGGTGAAAATAAACTAATTTAATTACTATATGATTTTGAAATATTTAATTTGAAATTTTAGAATATATATTTTGATTTTAATTAATAACTTCTTATGTTTAACAATGTAAAAATATATTTAGCACTTTTTATTCATATGATTTTTATGAATATTTAAGAAATATCAATTTGTTAAATTGATTTAACAATATTAAAGGATTCAATCACATTTTACTACTGCCAAACAGTTAGTTATAATTATAATTAAAATATAATTATAACTATAATATTTATTTCTACCATTATAATTATAATATAATTATAATTACAATTATAATTATAACTACTCCATATAATTATAATTGTAATTATAATTACAACCATTGTTCTAAAACTCGCTAGGCGCTAGTCGGGCGGTTGAGGGGCGCCTAGGCGGCCGACTAGGCCAATTTTTTGGCCGACTAGGCCTTTATAGTTAGGGCCGCCTAGGCCGCCTAGGCCGCCTACGCCGATTAATCGTTCTGCCTAAGCTGTTTTTTAGAACAGGGATTAAAACTACTCTGTATAATTATAATTATAATTATAATTATGACTGATCATACTTTTGATCGTTAGTTTTTTCGGATTCAACTCCCACCCCGTCGCCGACGGCACTAGCGGACACTTCAGTCGATTTGTTCCCGGTTCAGGCGGAGGTGGGAAGCGGCCATTTTCTTTGATGTTGAAAAGTCTGCTCGTCCATCTTTTTGTTGGGTCCCTGTTTCTACTCTAGAAATATATGAAATGGAGTTCAAAATAGGTACATGAAGTCTTCCATTGATAGAGATGAAGTTTACACAAGAATGAAGAAATTTAGCTTAAAACTTCTCTGCGCAGGTGAGAATACTTCTCTGAAACACTTACCTACTCCATTCCCTTAAATGCATATTTAGCCTAGGGAATGGGTAGGTCACAATTCATGATTGGACCCTTAAATTAAGAAGGCCTGAATATTCAATTCTTGAACATTTAGATATTTAAGGCTATTCTACTCTAAATTAAATAAAACAAGAGGCCTATAATAATAGACATTGATCACAACATAAAATATCTCTAACATTCTCCTCCTTTGTGATCAAATGTCCCTTTGTCAGCTCTTATTTATTTTTGCCTCTTGTAGTAGTTCTTTCGTAGCGCTGGTGCGTGCTTGTATTGATCGCATCTAGCACCGTCTTTATTCGGTCGAATTCATCTAGTTCAACTATAGTGGCATCGGTAAGTCTCCATTCAAAATCAGATTTCAGCGGAAGCAATTTCTCTCTTATGATCTTCGGTGTCCCATCACAATACATGGAAATTTCATCGATCCACATTATGTGCTTCTCTTCGTGATTGAGGTAGACTATCGTGACCGACTTGTCAAAATATGGTACGGTGGAAACTGCTCAAGCTCTGGCCCGTATAGTATCGACATAGTGAGATTTGCCTTAGGAATGTTGTTCTCAAGGGCCATCTGAAGATCGTGAGATGCATGAACCCGAACTTTCCTTATCATGAATCGCTTATTGCATCGTACCCCTCTATGCACTTTGCTGGTTCTGACGGGGAGATCCCGGTAAGCCATGAACATTTGATAAATGTCGTTCAACTTT